GGTGCATCTGGTGACCTGTTTGATACATGCAGCAAACATTCAGCTAAGCATAAAATATCAAATGGAATGAGATCCATGAAATTAATGTGGTTATATTGAAGAAGCATACTTAATTTTTCTAAGCTGATAAATACTTGCCCCATTTCACTTAAAAATTAGTTTTGTAGATATAGGCCATTTCTTGTTCTAATATGATACGCACACATTATTCTGTGGCTGGACCCCAGCTTTCATTTAGCATGCTGAAGAAGTAGAATGTATTGAAAGGTTATTTGGCAGTGAGAAAGCTTGGCTTGGTGTTAATGATGAACATGATTCATTGTCAGTAATTAAATTTTGTTGTATCTGAAATATAATCCACGTCTTCCATTATCTTTACTCGCTTCTTCCTTTTCGGTTTGCGGGGTTCACTGGTGCCCATATCCTGCAGTCACTGTGTGAGAGGTGTGGGACACCCTGGACAGGTCTCCAGTCCATCACAGAGACACAGAGAGACAAATGAGACAAACAACCATTCACAGTCTCACTCACACCTAGAGACAGTTTAGTTATCAATCGGCCTAAAATTTTATTTATTTTTATTTACCCTTTATTTATACGCTCAATGAGTCACGAGAACTCATTTTCAAGAGAGACCTGTTTTTTGGGAGGTGGTGGGGGTTAAGGGCCTTGCTCAAGGGCCCAGAGTGGAGCAAACGAGGGTGGAGGCAGGTGTGTGTTTCACCTTTAGAGTTACCAGTCAGTCTAACATGCATGTTTTTGGTCTGTGGGAGGAAACCGGAGCACCTGGAGAAAACCCACGCATGCACGGAGAGAACATGCAAACTCCACCCGGAAAGGCCCCTGGACTGGGGTTTGAACCAAGGACCTGCTCGCTGAGAGGCAGCAGCTCTACCAGTTGCGCCACCGTGCTGCGCAAAAAAAAAAATGCCCAGGACATAAAAACAAGACTTAAGAGACAAAAAACCCCAACTATTCTCATATTTGACCCTTTACCACAGACACGGAATTTTAAGTGTCAAGTTCATTAGATTTTTTTTTTTTTTTTAATTTTTAAATTATTTTTTCATTCATTTAAAAGAAATAAAAGAAACAAAACAAATTAATCAAAAACAAAAACAAAAAAACATTGAATGAAAAGGGTGCAGAAAGAAGAAGAAAATTATTATATCGGCCCCTTATTATTATACAAAGACAACTGCAGATAATCATAAAAAACGTACAAATTGAGAATAACAAGTGAAAGAAATTTGTATTAAAAAACGAAACGAAAACAGCTAGGTTGTAAAGTGATGTAGAAAACTAAAAACAAGAACATGTCTGCATTGGTTTTTGCCAGGAACTTAACAGATGTTCGACGCCACCTAGGGAGGTCAAGGTCGAGAGCTTCAGATCTTTTTGCAAGATATTCCAGGAAACAGGAGCGGAGTAGGAGAAGTCCATTTGGCCCAGTTCAGTCTGCACTGAGGGAACACTGCACGTAATAATTCATTCAACCTTTATTTAGACAGGTAATCCCATTGAGCCTCCAGGACTCATTTACAAGAGAGACCTGATTAATGTTCTGAGAGCGCACGCTGTAGCTGCACTCACGCAGTGACCTGTAGGAGATGTATGCATACCATATGTATTATAATCTTCATGGAGCATGGCCTGAGGAAAGGAGGTATGGATGGCAACTTTGATGAACATGTTTTTGTCAGCATAACCTCATCTGGGTGTGTTGAAAATGATTGTTTCTATAGTCATTTTATAGGAGGAGAAAACATTTATGCTATTGTTGCCTGAAGTGGACTCATTTGCACATGTGTCAAAATTTCCAGTTTGCATGATCTTATTTTTCCTTAAGTCACTTCAAAAACCAAAATCTGTAGCTCCGCTCCTCAGTGTTTGTATTTTACAAGCAGATAGATGGATGGATGGATGGATAATGGATGGATAATGGATGGATAATGGATGGATAATAGATGGATAGATAGATACTTCATTAATCCCAGGGGCATTTTCAAGGCATCCAGTAGTAGCATGTTCTAATGATACTGAAAAAAAAAACCCACATACGAAATAGTAATAATAAATAAAAGAAGCAGAAAAAATACAATAAGAATATAATACAATACAAAACACAATAAATACGATAAGGTTCAGCCATACCAATACTTTAGTATGACAATTAGGGCTGCACAACATTAGAAAAACTTGCAAAGGGCAATAGTATCGCAATATTGCAATAACAAACTCAATTGCTAGAAACCCACATTTTTTTCTAATTGATTGACTATTGTAAATATATTAGCATATAGAACATTAGTGCATGATATTCAAAACATTATTTGTAATTTATTGCAGACCAAGCAGTTTTTGGGATCTTAATAATGCACTCACTGATATTGCAATGACAAGAAATTAGCAATAAATTGTGCAGCCTTACGTTAAGACAACATGTTTAATTAGTTTAAAAATCCTAAAAAGCCTAACTGCAGAAACAGTTTTTTTGTTGTTGTTGTTTTTTTACTTGCTCAGTTAATTCAGACTTAATTTTTACGTTGAGGCTGCTGACCGTTGGTCATCAGGGAGTGGAGCCACAAAAACAGCGGGTTGATGTACCTGAAATTCCACTGTTCGCTTTAGCCCACTGGCTTTCTCAAACTGCCTTTGTGTGTGTGTGTGTGTGTTTATATCTGTGTCTGCATCACAACAAGCCCCTTCACCCATGCCTTTCGTCTATGGAAATGGGACCTTCACACTTCTGTGAGCAATCTGTAGGGGTCCACAACATACACACACACGCACACATGCACATCCAGACATTCAGTTTTGGACGAGTGACTGAAGAGCCGGGAAGTTTAACAGATGGCATCGGCTGTATTCGTTACACAGATTACTTAAAACCCCACATACCCATCTCTGCAGCCACTGGCTTTGTGAGTTCACTTCATTTAACTGAATGGTGTTTTTATGAGGCATAGCAACATTAGAGCCACCAACTGATTTAATCTGTCCCTCTCTGTTCTGTATCTAATACCAGATTGGGAGCATTTAGTTGGAAAGTCAGACTGTGGCATTGTACATGTCTGAACGCTGTTTAATTTGGTGGTGTAGCATGTGTTGCGATATTTAATTGACCTGCATGACTGTGTGTGTTGGATGCAGCTATAAAATCTTATAAGTACAGATTATAAGCAGCTACTCCTCAGTTCTGGCTGATGCAATGAGAGCTGTTGTAAAATGAGCAATAATCACAAAGAACATTCCCTTTTTGTAACGTAAGAATACATTTAAATTTAATTATCCAACTTTAAAATTTTAGCCTATCTTTTTGTTATTAGTAAATCTTTATTTTGAATTATATTTAATGAAGACCATAGTTTTCACAATGAACTTAATAATTAATAGAAATTATATGTTACGACATAACAAAAGGTGTTTATAGGTGTTTTCCGATTGCAGGGGACCACTTTACTGCTCTTATAACCATTTAAGGTAGTTCACCCTTTTATTTTACACTGATGTGACCATTCCTAATCCCTAAAACTGCATTTATTGGGTTTATTTTAGTCCCTGCTTCAAGGTAGGCATTTTATTACTTCAACGGGGACTCTTAAGTGACATAAAGAGATGTGATTGGTCCATACATAAACGGTCATTGATTGACCAAGCAAGTTGAAAGCTCTTCCAGCACTTCCAACATTTTTCAGTCAGGTCATCTGGACAGTTTCTTTTTTTGTGCTGAAACGTTTCGCCTTCGATCCAGAAGGCTTCATCAGTCAAAGAAACACACAACAAAACTGATTCTTCCCACAACAGCTTCCTCCAAAGTGGAACAAACCAGTTTTTATCACAACCACCACAGCTTATGATAATTATTTTTTTAATAGGATAATTGCATACATTTTACCAATTAAACTCATCAAATTTTTTGCTTTATATATAACAGTGTTAAACATCCATCCATTATCTTTTACCCGCTTCTTTCTTTATGGGTCACGGGGGTCACTGGTGCCCATATCCAACAGTCACTGTGTGAGAGGTGGGGGACACCCTGGACATGTCTCCAGTCCATCACAGGGACACATAGAGACAAACGAGACAAACAAACATTCACTCTCTCACTCACACCTAGAGACAATTTGGAGTTACCAATCAGCCTAACATGCATGCTTTTGGTCTGTGGGAGGAAACCAGAGAAAACCCACGCATGCACAGAGAGAACATGTAAACTCCACCCAGAAAGGTCTCCTGCCAGGATTCAATCCAACGACCTTCTTGCTGAGAGGCCACAGCTCTACCAAGTGAACCACCGTGCCGCCCAGTGTTAAATATTTTTAATGAAATTCTAATCTCATCAAATACTGACACTTTGTCAGGACCATGGAAGGTGTTGGGCAGCTATAAATCTACACCATGCTGATGATAAACTGGGTGTTGTAATTTATAAACCTAACCAAATACACCTAAAGATAATTGCAGCTGAAAATTGTGTCCACACAGAGCTCACAGCAAACCTGAATAATAATAATAGTCAAAAAATCGTCTCACAGTGGAGTCAAACTCGAGTTTGTTGCTATAACAGCATAGCTTGAAGGCCGACAACATGGATTTTTTTGTTAGTGCCACTATGATCAGGATGATTTCTTGACAGTCTAGCGGCACTGCAAGTTAATGGTAAACAAGTTTCATCCAAAATAAATAAACTGCTCATCCAAACAGCTTCACACTCGACTCTACTCTTCCTTCGGGTTCTAGTTCTATGAAACATGCTACATTTCAAGTACCGTAGATAAGATGAGGGGTTTTTACACCTGGGGGAAAAATAGGCAGGTGTACAAAGCCAGATTATTTTTAGATGTCTTCTTGGTATATTTTTACCTCACCTGCCTTCTTTACATCCATAATATACTTGTTCAGATTCTTCATTGACTTGCTAATGTTCCTTCCAACTTCCTCTATCCTTTTAATTTCTACTGTCTCACTAAACACTGTTCTTTTCCGTTTCCTAGCCAGCAGATTTGGATGCATGGGTAAGCAGCAGTGATACTGCCTTTTTACTTTTTGCTTTTTCTTCTCTCTTTTCAGTTTTTCTGCTCTATTCAAATGTCATGTTTTCATTGTGCTTTAAAGCAAGACTGCAAGTGTGCTTCCACCATCATTTCACACAACAACACTTTGGGAGGTATTCAGCTAGAAAATTACACATCATCTGTGCTTCTGGCAGGAGTGATTTTACATGCAAACACACATATACACCCAACCTCTTAGCATCAAACCGCCGCTGTAGAAAGAAAAGGTGCAGTGAAGGCACTATAAGTATTTTCAGATGTGCTCTTCAGTGATGTGTGTGTCTGTAAAATTAGGATGAGAATATACTGGATTATAGTAAATGTAATGTCAATCTGTGTAAGTGGGCTTGTCTGAATGTTTGTCATTAAAGTACAGAAGATGACCCAATCAGTGATGGAACATTGTTCTGTCTGAACTAGAGCCTGACCGATATATCAGTCAGGACGATATTTTAGGACGATATTTTAGGACGATATTTTAGGACGAT